GTCTACCTAATTTCACTCACAAGGCTTGGGTCAAACCATTGTATGGTTTTCAGGCATCTTCCAAATGTGCCGCTAGCTGGGATCGACCACGCCAGTCCGATAAAATCAGGAAGACTATTTCCTGACAAATCGACTATGGTGAGATTTGAACCCTGGCATTATTGTCAGAATTCCAGCGTTCTAACTAGTCGGCCACGTGCTGGCAATGCAGTTTAGCGTTAATGGCGTGACCATGTGGAACAAGCTCGAATTTTTGTACACCTTGGAAATTCTATCTGACTGAGAATAATATTTGTTGTTTTCTTTTCTCTTAGTAAGTCAGTCAAGGCTTTTTGGTCAACCTAGTGCTGCCTGACATTCATTCACAAAAGGCAATCGTTACGTCAGCTGATATTCTTCTGATTCTTTTTCCTTCAATTCTGTGATTCGTAAATCCCCTAAGGCCTCTTTAATCAGATAGCTCAACATTTTAAAACTGGCTTTCCTACGTTTTTTTTTTTAATACACGTTTTTCATGAAATATATAGAACCAGATCACTGCCGTTTCAAGTAAAACAAAAAATGAAATAAGAATGTGATTTTGTCCAACTAAACGAAACAATAATAAATTGGTACACGAAACAAAACAACGCAGAACCTCTGATAAACACACCTATGAGATTGTGTCTTGTGAGTTTTGGGGTCATGGAATAGAAATTTGGAAACACTGCTTACTGAAATTTATGAATAATTTCAGATTAAAAAACGGACAAGGTGAAAAGATAAATACAATGTAAGTTCTATTGTACAAAGAAAAAATTTGCAAATACTTATAAATTAAACAAAAGTTTATATGAAAATAAAATTAAAAAAAAAAAAAACATTACACCCAAATATTTAGACATCATATTAATACGTCAATCAATAATTTCGACATAAAAAGTGTAAGTAATTTATTATGGAAAACATAAAAATTATAAGAAAGATGACATAACTTCACAATAACCTTTCAAAAACTTATGTCCAATATCAAATGTCATATATCGCTATCTAAAAATTAATAATATAATATAAGGTTATATAATAATGGAAATGTAATAAAAACATACGAACATGAAGCTGAATGAGTTAGGTTAAGTTAAAAGATATCTAGAACCTCCGTATTTTCAAATGACATATTTAAGGGCTGGACGTCTCCGTGTCATTAATATTTCGATATAAACAGCTTATATTTCTCTCACGAACTTTTCCGCTTCCTGTATTATAAGTCTGATTACATCACTAAAAACGTCATCTATCCGTATAAATTTCTTACTAGAAAAGAAAGTGTTCTTTCGTCATTCCTCACAGTTATCGAGTGTATATATATATATATATATATATATATATATATATATATATATATATATATATATATATATATATATATATATATATGTGTGTGTGTGTGTGTGTGTGTGTGTGTGAATATTTTATTGTTGGTACAAAACGTAATAACTGCAGTAAGTAGCCAAAATTTGTTTTTATTACCACTTTATAATAACAATTAAAAGGAACAAAAAAGAAAACTAGCTAGCTAACCGCTTTGGAATCTCCCTCAACATAGCTAATTCGAAATCTATGGTATAATCATCAATAAAAAGATGTACAATATGTAGAGGGTAAATATTCTTAAATGGAAATTAATTGGGGGCTTAGTACAAAATCTTTCTGTTTACATAAAAAACTTCCAATGAAGAAATAAAGATGGCCTCCAATATTCTGAAGTGGTAATTTGAGTAGAATTTACTGAGGACGGAAAATTAGTCCACACTAAAATTAAGGGCACAATTCATATATATATATATATATATATATATATATATATATATATATATATATATATATATATATATATATATATATATGGGTGTCTGTTTGTGTGTGTATGTCTGTCTGTATATATATATATATATATATATACATAATATGTACATTGTTCAGATTGTTGTTCTAATCTTTGTCGTTATATTCACGACGTTGCAAAAGCTTTATTTTCTTTACAAGGGTAGATTGCTCTAGTTCCACGTGTCATACCGTTTATTCACTATGCCATATGTCCTGGGCCATGTGTCCAGAGGATAATAGAGTGTTAAGTTACTAAATTGAAATAACTGGAGTGTTGAGTTACTAAAGGTATATAACTGAAACTGAGAACGCCATAGCATATGGTTTTAGAACAATCTACCCAAGGCATCTAACTAAAGGTTTCAATTCGAATTTTGGCCACCCAATAAAAGCAAAATAAAGCTTTACTGGACTATTTAGTCACATTTTCTCCAGCAGGCATATTCAATTAAATATTTCCTCAATGAATAAGTAAAGTAAAACGGTCTAGTTTGTTTTGTTTTATTTTACGGCATATCAAACACAATGCCGAAAATTTTTATTGCTGGTAATAATTTTTTTCCTTCAAAAATATATTTCTGGTACTAATTTTTCTTAAAAATCTTCATCTGGTAATATCTTTCCTCCAAAATTGTATCACTTGTAATATTTCTCGAGAAATATATAGCTGATAATATTTTTTTCAGAAATGTTTTGCTGGTAATATTTTTTTCAGAAATGTTTGGCTGGTAATAATGTATTGCTGGTAATAATTTTGACAACTTATTTCTGGCATTAAAACCTATTTTTACACTTCCATATTGTTTTGACTCCAGTTTGGGGGGTTAACTATTTACCCATAGCTGGGACCCTAACAGCCGCTCTCGCCCCGGGTCAGGGTAGACCTGAGAATATCAGCAATTATGAGGTAGTTGTACGCTCCTCAAAACCTCCTGAGCAGAGGCCATGCAGTTGTACATATTTTATCGTCTTAACCAGGATGCGGATGTAGTTTATTGTCATAACCAGGACGGAAGTAAAACGGAAAAGAATTATATATATATATATATATTTACAGTCAGATACATTATCTTATATTATTATGTAATAACCACTTTATTTCGATCATGGTTCTCCACTATCTCTTGTCTCTTTTAGCTCTTAGCATTGTTCGTTCGCTTGCCCAGCCTCTGGCCGACCTTTCTGCTATCCAGTCATAAAAGCTCTCCTTTTGACTTCGATAAGCGCTGTGATTGTTAAATGCTCTTGGCCTCCTTTCTTTATTATGTCTAAAATAATAGATTTCAGCCGTTTCTTGCTGATTCTGAGTCTAAGTGTACATCTTTGTTTCTATTGATCTTGAGAGTGTTTCTTTCCTTTTAATATCGATGCATCATTTCTCAGTAATGCATATCGGAGATATCCTGAGTCGGTAAGAAAAGTTCCAAAGGCCCGCAAGTTATTTTTTTTTTTTATTTGATAATACCTTACTTCTATTCTTTTTCTATTTTGTATTCTTCAATCTTCTTTATAAATTTTTAACATTACTACTTCTCAATGATCAATTCATTTAAAAAATAATGTATCGCTTTTCAGAAAAGTATTCTAGGATCTAATCCATGCCGAAGTGGTTAAGTATCTTATTTCGCACGACATCCTTTCGGAAAAAAACAAAATGTCTTCCGTTTCGCCAGGTCTAGCTTCGATGTGATAACGGCCATCACTGAATTTGTCTATCAAGCTCTTCATAAGAATGCCGGTAATCGGGATATGGGTCTTGATATCTCAAAAGCGTTCGATATAGTTTTGCATGCTGATCTTCTATGTAAGTGCCATGCGTTCGACAAAATAAGTTAGACTGAAGTAACTAATTTTATAGCAAACAAAAATAGTTTTGTTATATTTTTAGTGATTTGGTCAGTGGCTAAAAAAGGAAAAAGAAAACATAAAAGCTTACAGAAAAAAAGTTAGAAATATTTTAAGATAACTTCAGTTGGGAGTTGCTGGGTTTTGTCAGGTCAGCGAATGATACTAAACGAACTGTTATGAAGCATATTTGTACAACTGACTTCGACAGCCAACTGGCTTTGCGCGCCAAACAACGAATACAAGTGTCCGGATGATAGAATTCCACTTGTAAGGTCATGTGTCAAAACGAAAGATCTCTTTTAAGTCTTTTCTTTAAATGGCCCAGAACTGGGAAAAGGTTTCATTCATAAAACTATATTTTCTTAACATCATGATCCAGAGATACTGTTTCACGGAACAAATATTTGATTTAATTAATGGTTCATGACAAATCGTAAAATTACAGTCGTGTTGAACAGGCTCGCTTTCGGATCATTTCATCTGAACGCGTGCGTACCCCGGACTCTATTGTAGAACCTATGGTCTTTTTGGTGTTCATCAGTGATCTTACCAGTTTATGCAGATGAAGCTAGCATTCACTCCTGTCTCAGTAGCATGTCCGACAGATCTGACAAAGTAAACCTAGCAACTGCTCTTGAAAATGATCTCCAATCAGTGATTAACTGTTGCAAGAAATTGCTTGTAAATTTTAGTGCATTCAAAGCAAAACGACTTCCATTCAACCACCGCAGATAATCTTTTGTGCCTCCCATCAGTATCGCTGATGTTAAGCACCAGTAGAACAATACACTACGGCTTCTTGGGCTCAGGTTTTTCACTGACATGAAGGGAAACAAGTACATCAAATTAACTGTTTCTTCTTCTACTTCGAAAAAAAAAATGGTCCACTGTCTCGTGCCAGAAATATTTCTCGTCAAAATTCATTTTGAATGTTATATAAATCCACCCATGAATTGAATACTGTTGCCATATATGGCCTGGTGCTCCTGTTGTCAACAATTTTGACCCAGGATCTCGACTTCAGTCACATTCTCCCCGATGGGACGTGACTTCCCTCACTCTTTTTTTAAAAAATGAAAATCGTTGTGTTAATTGATAAATATCCCTTCTTATGTATTCCTTGGAATTAGTCATCCGTTTTTTACTGGAAAGTTACAAGGCGACAAATTACAAAGTCGTTACAAATTACGTTACAAAGTCACGTTCATCTGGAATTGTGGGAAGGGAACAAAAATATTTTTGATTAAAATCTATGTAATGTTGTATAACGGTTGTAGCAACGTGATCTACCTAATCAGATCTGCATGTATATTTTTATGTTGCTTGGGAGAGAGAGAGAGGGAGAAAGAGAGATACAGTTGGGCAGTGAAGTTAGATAGATATGTAGATAAAGAAAGAGAAATGCAAATTGACAGACAGAGGAGAGAGATAGATTGAGAGAAAGAGAGATGAAGATGGACAGAGAGAAAAGATAGAGGAAGAAAAAAGAAATGGTTATCAATATAAAATCCTTAGATTTTCCGAAACATTCATCAGAGTATGAGATATGGAGAAAAAGAATATATTTCTAATTTTCGATGATTTTATATTTAATTAGTCAATTATATTTCACATGCATTCAACTCTTTAAACGAAACTTAGTACAATTTATGGGGTTCTGAAATGAAGTAAAGACGACATGTCTATCCAAAGTTACAAGAAATTATTTTCAAGACTACCTGAAAAACCGTAAATATTACTATATGTATGTAAATATATAAAAATTCTAGTAATCTCTCTTGGAATCAGATGATAATGTATATTCGTAAATGTCTGTATGTTTGTGTGTGTATGTGTGTTTGTGTGTGTGTCTAGTCGGCATTACGTGTGTTAATTTTTCACAGCTCGATTTGGGAACGTCTTTTATGTACATGCCGTTCGTCTTAGAGTAATATACGTTAGATTCGTTAAGAACGAGTTCAACAAAAGCTGTCGATGTAATATAATGTATTTGACATGTGTTTATAGTTGGTGAAATTGTTATTACCAGGTTCTCAAAACAAACTTTCTCCGTAAACATTGATGTTTTTTTTTTAATTTTTTATTTAAGGGTCATTAGCAAAATCAAAGTGATGGCCAGATTTGTTACTGTGTATTATGACAGGGTTTGAATGCTTCCCCAAACGTAAATCGCTTTTGTGTTCGTAGGTACCGGCTTTTGAATTTTTAGATAGATAGATAGATAGATAGATAGATAGATAGATAGATAGATAGATAGACCGACATACAAATAGATAGATAGATAGATAGACCGACATACAAATAGATAGATAGATAGATAGATAGATAGAACTAGAGATAGACAAACGAATAGATAGATAGCTACCTAGATAGATAGAGAGATTTGTGTTTGTAGTTTTGTATTTCCGCCAGCTGCCCATATGAGAGTCCGTACATTGCAAGAATTATAATAAAAGATATATATGCATAAATACATATAGAGAAAAGAACAAGTTGTGTCAATATCAAACGCATCGTTTTCGTATTCAAACAGAAATATATTATTTACGTTTCTCCATTTATATTTCTCGATCCCAAACAAACCTCAGCTTCTGCAAATATTCAAACTTTTCCCTTTAACGTTCTCGAGATAGGTCGCTTCCAAGATTTTATTTTTTTTGATTTTTTTGCGTTTCCATGTTTGTTTACAACAACTGCACAATGCTTTGTCGATCTGGCCATGCATATATAATAGAGCCACAATTGCCTGAGCTAGACACATTGTGCTCGGCTATTAAACCACTAACAATGCAAGACTGATGAGATAGTCATCTCAACAAACCGAATGTCCGTATTTTTTTTATGCAGAAACATCGTGACCGTCCGATGAACCTGGCTCTGTTCTTTTAACTTTTCTTAGTTTCCTAGCATTATATATAGTATTTCTATTTTTCTATTTTATCCCACAACCTTTCCTTCATTTTTTGCTCTCTTCTTTTCCCTTTTCCCCTTCCCTTTGCATTTTCTGTTCCTTTCTTATAACGTATATCTTGTTACTTTTAATGTCTCTTTAATCATTCTCTATTTTCCCGCTTTTTTCTACGTTTTAAATCTCTTTTTTATTTTCTCCATACATCTGTAACTGTCTTCTCTTATTTCCTTTTTTTTTGTTTGTTCTGATTTGTCTTCCCACTTACATTCTCTTCTACGTTCGTTTCAGTTTTTGTCTATCTTTCTGAACTTCCCATCTTTCCGTCACTTCATCCTCCAATATTGCTTCACTTTTTAATTCTGTATAGTAGATACCATTTGTCTGTATTTCATATCCAATCCACGAGGAATATATGTGACACAAGGCCGAGTTTAAAGTGGGTTTCTCCGAGCCCGTAGGCTCTGCCAAAAATATACCCTTTGAACCCGGGCTCAGGGCTTATCTACCTCCCCGGACGAAACCTTGCCCTTCGGCAAAGCTTCGTCCGGGTTCCTCTCTGGCAAAGCAGTGAGTTCGACAGACGTCGAGACTGTATCTCGACCATTTATCAACATGAGCTTCACGAGGACTGACTGAAAATAAGTGAGACTGGCGGAAGGAGGAAGTAACTTCAATTTCAAACACATGGTCTCGCCTTCAAATTAATCACCATCGATGGTATTTTTCATCCTTCTCTGTAGCGCTTATATGTACTTCAGGAAATATTTTGGGTGCTTTTCAGCTCCGTCATTATGGCCCTCTTGATGGCCTTCACACTTCAGAACTGGAACCCTTGACCCCTTTGATCTTTGGTAAAAAAAAAAAATCACATAGAGCAAGATCAGTTTAATAAGGAAGTTGTTCCAGTATGGCGAGGTTCTTCTCGGCCAGGAACTGTCGGGTTCTCGGGGGGGTGTCAAGAGAAGGTGCATTGTGGTGATGAATCAGCCACTATTTTTCCTGAAACATCTGTCGACTCTCCTTGCGCACTGCGCGAAGCAAACGCCACAGGATCTCTTTGTAGTCTTGCTGACTGATCGCCTGGCACAGTTACAATGACTCACAATGGATGCTGCCTCTCACATCGAAGAACGGATATGTGCTGTTACTATTCTCACAGACATTAGCATGATTCAAAGACGCTTCGGAAAGAAGCCTTCCAGAATCTCAGCAAAATATTAATAGATAGGAACTGTTTGCTGCAAAAAATAATAATTAAACACAAGACACAGCTGAGATTTCCGTGACATATTATGAGGAAAACGCTTTTAAAAAATTTATACTCACAAAGCGTATTCAGATAAGGAGTTTGTCAGCATGAGATGATACATATATCAAAAGACACTTCGAATATAGATGTCCCAGAAAATAAATAAATAATTATTAAACATGGAGATTTTGCTTTCTAGAAAGTAAATAATCCTAGACTGATATATAATCACTATCTACTTTTACGTCTGTGAGTGTTAAACAATTTTTCTTTCTGATGGAGAATAAACACGAAGTAGAAGATATATACTACTAGAGGCGGATGATGAGAATCCCATAGATAAAAGACATGAGCATAAATAATTTCAAAATAAAATGGGAAGTAGGAAACACTGATAATTAAAATCAACAAGACACAGTTGAAATTCCAGGAACATATTTGGAGGAATGACGACTTGAAAAGGTTTTTACTCACAAGAGCAATTCAGGTAAGGATTTTCTCAATATGAGACGTAATAAAGAAATCCAACTACACTTCAGTAAAAAATAGCCTCGCAGAAAATAAGCATACGTATTAATACACAGGAAATATATCGTTACAAAATCAAAGACTATAATGCTGCTCTACTAATCCCTCTGAGTGATACACAATATTCTTACAGAAGAAGATGACAATCAGGCGGAGGGTGTATATATATATTATTCCAGAGGCTCAGGATACCAGAGGCAGAAAACAGATGCAATAAGAATGTTCGAAAGAAAAGGAGAACAAGAAAGACACCAATAATTAATACCAACGATACAAAGATGACATTTTTTGGAACATTTTATGAGGAAAGACAACGTGGAAAAGTTAATACTGGCATGACATATTGTGCTAAGGAATGGTATAAAGAAATACCGAGGTAATAATCTAAAGAATTTATGAGAATGAATGGCATAATATAGACGAGGGGAGATGTTAAAGAGTCAACCATCGTTTGAGTTATAAGTTACACAATGTTTTGGAGAGCTATGATTTCCTACATCCAGATTGATGATGATGATTTATTTAAAATAAATAATGGCCAAAGTTTCAATTATTTTAATTACATCAGTAAAAAGGTTAAATCACCACCGCCATAGTAGACAGAGATATCTTAAATTTCTGTAAAATATTTACACAAAGAAATCTGATTTAAAAGTAAAAAAATTAGGATATAATTTTCTAATAGCAAAAATAGGAATGATGAGGAATATATACTGAAATCCCTTCTATCATGCATTAGTCATTTTTAACGTTTTTTTTTTATCAATACAAGATGATCAGAGTCTGACAAAAGATCTCTCATGTGAACGAGCTCTTAGAGATCAATTGGATTGTAACATTCAAAACCTCCAAAATCATACTTGTAACGTTTCTTTCTCACCGAGTATATCCTGAATTTTCTCCAGTCGTCATTAAGAGTTGCATTCACAATGAAGCTCTTTACTTTGGGCGTGTATTTGATTACTTATATGTTATCAAAGATACAGACCAAATATAAAATGTTCTGTACTCTTCACCGCCACAAGAAGGAATGCCTGATTTCACCTACCATGTTCCGTAATTACAAAAGCGATATTGGATTAAAAATCGTGTGAAAAGCGTGTCAAAATTGTGTTCAATCGTGTAAAAATCGTGTCCAAAAGCGTTTACGAATCCTATGTGGTGATGATTCATTTCCCACTCTACAGACCTTTTTCCATGACGGCAACGGAGCAAGACTACCAGTTCTCTTTCATTATTTCTATAGCAAAGGTTAGAGCAAGATCCAATGTTTAGTTCCATGATTTTTGTCCTTAGCAACTAAGACCCGACATGATTCGGCCACGGGGTCGAATCACCCTGATTCTCTTCTCATTTCATTTTTAATAAGTTCTACTTTAACAGAATCTTTAGAAGAACTACTTTATAGAACAGTTTCCCGCTTGGGTAATTCTACAATCACTATAAACATAATATCAGTGTCAATCGTTACATAATTTCCATATTGTCATAAATTTCACTTCTTAATTAGATTTATACCTTTCCAAAGGATTTTTTTCAATGAAATATACAACGAATCTAATTGAATCTCGGCTCTCCGATTATCAATTTAGAGGCGTTAGCACTTAAACCACACCCGCATCCAAACTTCAAAAATTGGTATTCATAAGCGGTTACCCATTTAAGTAATGACAAAGCTTGACGTTGTTTAATTTCGGCAATCGTACGAAAAAATGTTTTTATTGTGATTTGACAGTAAAACTTTTTCCACATTCATATTTAAATTAACCTCTTCACGTCCAGGAATAACAGTTATATATCCTTCATATCCTCATAAAATTCATCTCTTAGTTCCAAATCTTATCTCGTTATCGCTCCGCTAACTCAATAAAACTTTATCTTCAGTGAATGTTGAAACTATTAATTGAACATGTATAAGAAAAATGTACTTATATGCGGATTGAGTAATTTCTTTTTTAATGGCTTTTACACCATTGCAATTAATTTAAAGCCAATATGTATTTTAGATTTTAAATACATTTTGCAGATAACACTATAGAAAGGACGCTATGCACACGATGATTATTGGAAAGTCCAGACGGCTAAAACATGGCGAAATATATTCGTTTACTAATAAAAACAAGATATTCGCATGAAAATATATTAGTTTTGCAAAAAGAATAAAACTAACTTCAATTTATCTCTTTGGTTTAAGAGAAAAAGTATTTCCAAAAATATTTTATATGAAGATTTATTTTCTTAGATCTATACGTTCGAAAATCAAATCCACGTCTTAAGATCAAAGTCATCCTGAAAAAACTTGATAAGAATTTTTCATCTTGCATTATATGAAAATTAAAACATAGTTATTATAATGATTTCATGTCATTTAATTAGGTGAGGTGTAATTTAGCCTTATCAATTAAAATATTAAAACGAAAGGTGGTTCACTGTGTTGTGCCAGATAACTTTTCTCTCCAGAATCAATCTTGCATATTTATAAGTCTAACATGCATCCACGCTTAAAATATTCCTGCCGCATATGGTCTGGTGGACCTGCTTGAACCCTTTGATGAAATCCAAAGCAGAATCAACTATATTATTGGTCCTGATCTGGCGGCTATGCTTCAGTCACTTACCCACTTTGTCTTTTCTATAAAAACTTTCATAGTAATTGTTCGGATGAGCTCTGTGTTACCTAGACTTCATGAATTTAAACGCAGTAATGAACGGGCGTCAAGATCTCATCAATT